AATGGCGTAATCATACCATGACGCATTGAGGAGCATATTTACTGAGCAGAAAATTATACTGCTTAGAGCAGCATTTTCCACGTGAAAAGTATACCAATAGTTATGAATGAGCTTATTTCATCATATCTGATGCTTGCTTCATATCTCCAAATATGAAACATTCCCTTTAACGTGCCGTAGTGCTCGGCACAATCCGTCCTGCCCTTTATCATCTGATCTTTAGCGCCACCGCTGCCAGCGGCCGCAGGCCATATCTGCCCAGGAGAAATAGCGAGGACCTGGAGCGGCTCGGGCACACCCCGCTACGAGTGGGTGGGTGGGAAGTCAGGCGCTTGACCAATTTAGCCAAAAACTGCAGGGCTGTATCTATTTGTTTTCTAAAGCTTCTGCAAAAACGCGACGCTGGAAGTGGTAATAACACGTCATGTTCATTGACGGAGCGTACGGAAATAGCAGTAGCACCTGGGGAATTAATTAGCCCGCACCCAGCCGGCGGCCTGAGACAACCGCACACGGCCGGGGGAAGTTGACGTCACCCCTGGAATTTTCAACTTTCAGACGCTGTATGAGAAAGACAAAGGTCCCATTCCAAAGATTTCGTCAAATTATGAAGAATGGACACCAAATGTTCGACCTTAGGTCAAATATGAAGTCCCCAGAGGTCACGAAAGGTCAAAAACAGTCGTTCCAAAAGGTTTAAAACCTGTGTAAACGCACGCTCGGGTGGGGGCAAATTAAACCCTCAAAGGTTTTCCGCGATTGTTTCCGAACGGCGCGGAGTAGCCGCGTCAAATATTGCATAGCTGTAAACAATTTAATAGCAAGTTGTTTGGCATCAAACATTTAGATGCACCTTGTAAGGTCGTCGACCTATGACTGGTCAAAGTCATGTCATGGTTTCAGCGAAGACAATTTTGATGGAATCGTTCAACTTGATCCAACAACTGGTTGTTAGACGAAGCCATACATCTCTGAGCTGCTTTCTTAGGCAGCAAAACAATTGAAAAAACCAACTACATTAAACTAATGTCAGGCATGACGGTTAGACCAAGGTCAAAACCAGCCTGTTTTATCACTCCATGGCTTGGTGTGTGGGGTAGTTCCTGGTGCTCATTTAACATTAATTAATAACAGGAACTGCATGAAACACTTTACATGAACTTCTCAATGGTCAGAATAGGTCACAGACCTAGAACAATCCAAGTCACCATTCTGCTTTTAGGTACATCCTGCGTAGCGTAATCTTCGTCGCTTATCCGAATGCAAAGCTCGGAGCAACAGAACAGCAGCCTTGTGTTATTTCGATCACAATGACCTTTAAAAGATCAAACAAGGTCACTGACCTTAAGTGAGAATGTGACTTTTTGCTCAGACCAATTATCGAGGTTCTGGGAGCCCTTTGGAGGCCATCCTGAAATTTGACTTGTTGGATCTTATTTGACAAAAGGTAATGATCTATGAACTGCAAACTTTAACCTGTGTGAGTTCACGTACAGGTCAATACACCCTGTAAAATTGGTGTCTCTAGCTCTCTTAGTTCCTGAAATCGCACGGGAGTGTAAAACTGACTCCCCGCCCCCACCGAGAGAAGGGTATTCAGCAGGCCACCCGGGCGCGTGTTAACACGTCAAGACGGGTATTGAGGGCACGAAAATAAGCGTTAAGACTGTAAAGAATATATTCCGACCATTTCTGTTTACCAGATGTGTCAGGTCCGCTCAGGTTAGCGTTCAAAACTGCTGTACCTGCAGTCAACAGAAATTATATTTTTCTTCACAATTGTGCGCCTAAACTTAAGATGCAGCTGTTGGGAAAAGTATTCCAGACACAAAAGATAACATTTTAGGGTGACGTAGAGGTCATCTGAGGTCAAATTAGGTCCACTCAAAAAGTTGAAGTGATAGCGGGTGTGAGTGACCGGTGCAATGTTTTGCTGTAGTCATTATCGTGTATTGCACATCTACAGGTACTCAGGATCGCATAGCAGTTGTCTACATTATGCGTAGTGTCTTCGACGCTTGGCAATGTATTTGTAACAAGCTGAGAACAGGTATGTCGGCGTATAAAATTAGACGTCATCAACTTCAAAAACACTATAATGAGGCTCCCACACGTCGCACTCGTTTATATACGCACTCGGTCCGTACATGGCCTGTTGTGACCTCATTGTGCATAGAGTGGTATAACAAGAATGTTCCAGCGGAGCATTCGAATTCTGCATCCAAAGCTATCCAATCCAACTGCCTATTTTGAGCCCAGCGTGTGTTTTGAGGAGGCTACCCACAGAGAAGGGTTACGACCTGGCCGAGGCTCTGTGCTTTGTGGCCATATGATGGTTGTGCATGTGATTTAGTGTTTTTTCGTCATATACAACACCAAAACTACTCAAGAAAACGTACACTTTTGCATTATTTACAAAAACAGCAAAAGCTGACCTGACTTCCGGTCACTGACATCGAATTTGCCGAAAGAAATGAATAAACGAGCTGTATATACTACCATGTTTTATTACCGTAAGAACTTTGAACACAAGCAAATGATCCACAAAATAGTTATGTGCGGTCAAAGTTTTTTATAGGATGACCTCTTTGGCTTGACCTAGGTTAATAAGCTTGCTAGATCAAAGGTCTTAAATCTGCACAAATGATATCAACTTGATACGTAAGCAGCCACTGAAAATTTCGTGATGTCGCGAGCGTTCGTGTTTGACCCGTCCTCGTAAACCGTTAACTAACCCCGGCCATGTGCGGATTAAATATCTGACACTGTGGCACGTGCGCTATAATTCAATGTTAGTTGTTTCTTTTAAAAAGTGTTTAATATCCATAGACTACAGACACGTGATAATCCAACTACTTCCTAATCCAGCCTTCAACTCCAGGCACGGAAGTCATTTGGTGTGCTCGATCAGTATAAGGGAATATCCCCGAGCGGTCTGTTGAAGTCCTAGAGCATCGCACCAGATTTGTACCGATGTAGTCCTACCAATGTGAGGTAAATTCATTATGGTAATTGTGAATATTGTGATGTCCTCCCTCCCCCCCCCCCCCTCACAACTGAGATAAAATTAGACGTGTCTCTCCCCTCCCCTCCTTCCCCTCTCCCCACGGTGGCGTTGACACTGTATCAGCCTCAGCGATGCGTGAGATGAGCAAGTTTGGGCGTGTAGCTGCCAGCCCTGTTGTCGACGGGATGTATACGAAATAGGTGGATCGACGGCGTTCAGATGCCTGAAGAACCCGACGTACTGAGTTTCAGGTGTGGAACAATACCGCTTCAAAGACAATTGCGTAGGGTCACGGAGCACTTGTCAATCACTAATCGGCACCATCCCTAATCAAATGTAAATGTATGGACATTCACCCACAATTTAAGTCTACATTGAAGTACTTGAAACTAAGGTTCGAGGAAGGCACTTGAGATTAAATGGGTTGCAAACAGGTAATACATTTATACGCACCGAAAAGATATTGCCGCGATGCACTAACATGGTTCTTCAGTCACAGCTTCTGAGTTTTGTCACTCACATTGCGAAATCATGCATGCAACCCTTCTCGGCATCCGGCGTGGCTATCTAACAAAAATGTGCCAACTTATGCATCTGTTATAAAGATCAAGCACTATAGAACTTGTACAGTTTAACGCCTTCCGTTTTCGGCATAGCATCCCAATTAGGGGAGGGGTATGTCTGTGTCTGCGGCTCGCAACACTGGATCTGGCCGTACTCGGCCAATTATGCCTATTCACGACATTCAAATCCTCCATGGACCCATTGTGTTACCTTAATGCGCGGGACACCAACCGTTCAGAAACGATGGCCTAAGGACACGAATCACTTGCACGTGCAGCGCAGGCTCAATGGCAACGTGCACTTGAGACCTGCCTGAGCGGGATTTGCTGGCACCCTGCTGTGTCACCAAGAACACCCTTGTGATCCCGCTGTGTCGCCAAGAGCACGGGGATACACAACTCAGACGTGAGTGTCAGGCCATCTATATAATGGCGGCACTAAATATGCACGGCCCCCCGATCATCACTGAGAGCCAGGATGTTTTGAATTTTGACGGTATCAGATTTGTAGAGGGGCCCCTTACCCACGTGTCAAGTTTGGCGGTCACAGCTCGACGCGTTGATGACCCGGCGGCGCACCAGTCGGCGGCGGTGTGCGCACCTGACGGGTATAACCGATGCTTCTTGAGAACAACATCCAAAAGAGCCTAATTCACGTCGGTAACAACATTCTTGTTAGCGGCAGACCCGTGCGACCGCCAGTTCGGCATGCACCGTGGCACGCCATTTTTACAGACTGCCGCGGACTGGCACGTGGCACAAGCCAGCCGGCACCGGTCGGTTCAAGACCGGCACCATGGTCTGTCCGACGGGGCGTGGCACACGAGGCTGAACACGATTTTTGCGGACAGGCACTCTGTTTTTTGAGCGCTTAGAAGTGGTCTGCATCTGTGACTCCTTTGGCGTCTTCGAAACGACGGGCGCTTACTTTTGTTTCTTCTGTCCCGGAGAGTGTTGAGGTGGATGACTCCGTCATTGTGAATTAAGATTTGAAATAGCTGGTGCGGATCTGTGTCCGCCCTGCAAACGATCTGCAAAAGTGGTTAGCTGCTTCTAAGTTCCAATACAGCAAGGCATGCACGCACACGTGATCCTGCACGGGCAGGCACTCCTGGCTCGTCAGGGCACTCCTGGCTTGGCCGCCGGAGTGCCTTGACCGGCTCGTCTAACCGGATCTAGCGCGGCGCAAACCTCGTCAATTGGCGAGGTCCGTCAATTGGTGCTGCCGGCCTTCGCTTCTCGGCGCCGGGACGCAGCCGTCGCATCGCCGGATGCTTTTTGCCCGCCTCGTTTTGCAATACATTCGGGGGTGTTGACTGGGCGGTCGAGAAGGCGGCGGGATCGTGAGATAGCGAACAGGGCGATAAGGAGCGACGGCGTGTGGACCTGCGCCAGCTCAAGGCAGTGCGGATCGTTAGTTTGCTGCGATTATCTGTTCGGGGCGCAGCGTCCGAACTCTGCGTCCGACACTGGCAGACCGGCCCAACTGACTCCTGAGCGGCGCCCGAGAGCGCTCGACTGCGCGATCACGCTCTAAAGCCTGCAATTGGGTAAGTCGAGCCATGACTACGGTAAAATCACCCGCCGCGACGAGTGCTTGGGGTTACACTTGTGTACAACCCTTCAGGAAAATGTTTCTTACGTGGCAGTTTTGCAGTCTTCAGCCATTATGCTAGATATTTTACAAGAAGTCGCACTTATGCGACAAACGCTTATGCGACAGATTACGTTTATACAGCATGCTGCATTAGGAGGGGACCGATATTGGAATGTTGATTGCGAATTTAAAAAGAAAGCTTTTAAGAATGACTTTTGTCTCCCAGCGATGATGAGTGGCCCTAATTTTTTCACATGCTCCCGGGTGGCCGGTTGAATACCACACGCTCGGGTGGGTGTCAATTTAACCTCAATGAGATCTCAAAGACTAAGAGAGCTACAAGCATCGAATTGTGATGATTGGCTAACCTGATTTGAACTCGATTGTGTCAACAATTGAAGTCTCTAGACCAGACTTTTGGTTCAAATAAGGTCAAACACGTCCTACAAGATGTTTGTCCAAAGTGCCCTGGACCTCATACAAACGTCTTGTACCTAGATGGCTATTAAAATAAAAAGATCAGTGATGTTCGTTTTCGGTCAATGACATTTTCTGCCATTTGAAAAGTCATGGTGACCAGAAACCCTACCCTCGAGATTGTTTTGGTTTTTGGAATTTCAATAAGCGTCTAGGATTACGTTAGGTGGTGTGTTCCTGAAGCAAACCGTTGGTATGGATAAATGAAAGTCAGTGACCTTCTCTAACCATTAAAAAGACCATAAAAGGTGTCGCTTGCGTATCCTGTTATCGAAAAATTACATGTAAGCACCAAAAACTGCCCCAGAAACAGACTCTCCAGTACAGGTACCAGATGGTTTTCACCTGGGTTTAACCTCTCTATCTAGCCTAAGGCCAATGTAACTTGCTGTAATCCTCAATTAAATTGCTTAACTGTCTAGGAAACACTCAGATATACATGGTTTCGTCCAGCACTCTGTTGTCCGATCAGATGAAACAATTTCTTTGAAGTTACCATCGCTGACAGCCACGGCCTGAATTTCTCCTGCCACAGGTTAGCGGCCTTAAAAGGCACTTCTAGGTCCTTATTAAAATATTTGCTGTTCAATTGCCTACAGCTATGCACATTTTAGTGTGGCTGCGTCGCACATCCCAGCAACGATATATCTTGGAAACAAATTTCGGGAGGGATCAATTTGACCCCTACCCGAGCAGGTACTTACAGCTCTATGAAGCATGTCTGATGAAGTTACCGCCATTAACAAACTCAAAGTGAGCACCAGAAACTACCACATACAGCAGGTTCCCGAGTATAAAAGCAGGTTGACTTAGACCGCGATCTGACCTTCATGCCTGACCCTGGGTCAGGGAATTTGTCGTATCCTAAATTAAACTGCTTTGGTGCCTGAGAGACTATCTCAGCGATGCATGGCTTCGTCCAACTCTCTGTCGTCCCATCAAATTAAGCGATTCCCTAGAAACTGCCGTCGCTGACAGCCACGGGCTAACTCTGACCTGCCAGAAGCCAGTGAACTTACACGGGTCGCTGCCGTCGCTGACAGCCACGGCCTAACTTTGACCTGCCATAAGTCAGTGAATTTACACGGCGCATATATTTTGTATACCAAAAGATCTGTAATGCAGTTACCTACAGCTATGCAAAGTTTGGAGCGGCTGCGCCGCACCGTCGGGAACTTATTCCGCCAAAACATCTGTAGGTTAAATTGACCCCACTCGGCTGCGTGTTTCAGGTCAGCAAAGGTCACTGACCTGAAATGACGTCGTCAACATGTTGTTGCAGGAACACCGCTTAGAGCGATTCTTGACGCTTACTCAAATGCAAAAATTAACAGGATGCAACGGACTTTCTACCCAGATTTGGCGTACTTTCTTTTCAGAGTTGCGGGCAGGGGCGTTGTTTCTTAAAATTAGTTCGGGGGGTCTCTAGCCAAAAAAGATGATTAATGAAAATCATGAATAACAAGTGGCAAAGTATATTAGGAAACTATATCACTGGATAGGGGGCATTATCCTGCCTCAACTGTATAGAAAACTACTCGCCACTAAGCATGTTATGTTAAGTATGCCTTTATTTGATAATTTTATTAGTTGAGTCTCAGTCATCATTCCGTGTTTGGAGGCCAGCAAATAATGCTAAATGCAAAGGAACTCCCGAAAACATCTGTTTAATATTTATGCCGCATTACATTTCAGTTGTCTTTATGCTGTAGCTTATCGCATTTACGGTTACACTGCAATGGTTTTCGAGATATTTCTTCCAGGTGACAGTTAAGGCGGCTCCAAATTTCGTCGGTGATAAAAAGGCACCTTTTCGCCCCTAGCCCCCCGTCTCGTCAGCCACGTCGTAATGGGAGCAGCGGTCAGTTGTATCCCGCAATGCGGTCATCACCGGCACTGTCCAGTCCTCCCTCGATACCCCTACCAACAGCGGGTGTGTGATAATCTTCCAGAAGCACAGTGTGTAAAGGCTACCGATCAGCCAGACACCATGTCCACCATCGCAGCGTGCTCGGACGTTTAAAGAACTGGAGGAGTGTGTGTTTGATGTAATCACAGTATATTATTTTACTTACAAGCACAATTACTGTGTGTTGTTCTGACGACCATCACCTTCTGTATGGCAAATGTGGCTCAGTAAAACTATATTCACCCGTGGAATATAGGTGCGTTCGAGTAACCCGATTTTCATTCTCGACCGAAACCCTCGAGTTGTTAGATCACATAGCTATAAAATGCAAACGTATTTGCGTTTTCAAAAGGTTATGGGCACGGTTTGAAAACCGTAAATGCTGTAAGTTGTTCGATTTTATCACTTCATAAATGAGGACGCAAATGTTACACCAAAGGACCAGCGCTGTTAAACTCCTAGCAAAAGCGAACTGTACACCACATAGATCCCATCGTTATGGGTTGGCAGCCCTTGAGTCAGGCCACATTACCTTCGTTTGCTGCGCCAGCCGTCTAATGGCAATCAGTAAGTCCCCACGCCCCTTGTTTCTGTTGTTTCGCGCCACACAGGATGCCTTACCGGCCAATTCATAATAAACACACAAAATAGGCATCGATTTCGTCGCTAATTTACGACTGGCATTACAATGCTACATCCATTAGCAGGGATAGCGTTTTGATGTCCTAATTATGTCGCACGACGATATAGAATTTCTGATCAAAATGCAAAACGCCTACCGATCGCCTTTTGAATCAGCAAAGTCGGTTTTGGTTTGGGTTTCGTTCGGATTTTGAACAGTAACGGCCACCTCACGGTTATGGGATGAAGGAGAGTGACTGATGGCCTGGTAGTTTCTTGCATCTGAGGTTCATCCGACCAGACATAGCCCGCACAGGGACCACCATGCGGGGTATATGTCCAGCGCTCGGAAGGGGCTCCCGACAGTGGTCACCTCGCCCGCCCGTGGATCGCGCGTGCAGCTCGCCCCGCACGAGCGGGGCGATGCCAGGGCGTAGGATAAAGTGAGCATGAGGGAAGGAGGGATGTGCAATCGGTGGATTGGTTGTGAATATGGAGGTCTGGACGAACAGCTTCCCTCCGTGTCGGGAGTGGGAAAATAACCCAGTAACTGCCGCAGTCATGTATACATAATCCAACATACGTATTACATAAGGGCGTATATAGCTGACCGGGTGCTTCACTGGCGATTGACACCTGGAACAGCCAGTGATTTCGGACGGCAAACCGATACTTCCGGCCAAACTGTTGCCAATAGAACATCGCCGCCGCTAGGGCCCACGCAAGAGCCGGGACGTGGATCCGTCAGGTCACTGACTACAAATGGCGTTTGCCGATTTTACAACATGACCCTCGGGTAATTGTACTACATCCCCTGCTGTTAATCCCGTATTATCTCTATGCATCTCAACTAAATATGTCTTTCCACTTGCATACGTAGACAGATATAAAGAGATGCATATATGTCATCTACATGCATGCATCTCCTTATATGTCTGGAAATGTTGGTGTAACCGTACGCCTCTGTCCGAGCGGAGTTTCAACTAACATGTACTGAGAAAAACATAACAGGGGACGAATCAGTCGTTTCGAGAGAAAAACGTTTTTTATTCTCCGCCATAACAGGCAATATTTATTGTCTGAGGGCTACAAACCACAATTAATATTTGATCTTTACCTTAGTGCTCTTAAAGACTGCCTACATGTCCAAGCCTTGAAAACGCAAGTCGCTTCATACACCAGAGGCTTAAGAGGTGGATTCTGCGGGAACCCACATATGGACACTGCCCTGCCACTGCTACATATTGACATGTGTCACTGTCACTGTTGCACGCGTTCGGGTTTTCGATCGCAGAAGCTCAGACGCTCCTGTGGCTGCTTTCTTCCTCGAAATGTTTCGAACGAGTGCAAACGAGAGCACAATTCCATTCAGTCGTGTACCACGCATCGCCGCTCGCAATCTCACGCCGTTCCATCTGAATGCACGCATTCTCAAGCTCACATCAGCACATTCCAGCATGTGTTGCACGTCCACTCTCGGCTATAGGCGCAACTCTGCGTCCACATGCGACAGCGGCTTGTCTTTGTATTTTCCCTCCGCTCCGCACTCCCCTGCGCGTTCACTCGCCGAAACGATTCGGTTTCCCGCGCGGTTGGACCGTCACCATGGCAACCCGGGACGGCCGGGCGGATTGTTGCCATGATTGTTTGAGTTAGCGCTACTAAAATACAAACGGAGACACCGCCTTTTGCATTTCATTGCAAACGTCGCCATTAACAGTATCATAAAACTGGCATTGGACTGTGAGTCAGTCGTGAGATAAAGATACTTGTTCATTATACCTAGCAGGCCCTCGTCCTGTCCACTCTGTGTCGTGCAAACAACGCTCGTGTGCCCCAAACCTGTGTTGTTGTGTTGAGTTTAATTCTTGCAGTTGCACCACCGTCGGGCGCAGTGCTGGCGTTTTCATCCCGACATGTTCCCGTAGCGTAGCTACGTGTTTTATGGCGTTTTCATCCCGCCATGTTCCCGTGATACAGCGCTGGTGTTTTCATCCCGACATGTTCCCGTGGTACAGTGCTGGTGTTTTCATCCCAACAAGTTCTCAGTGTGCTGCGCTGTTGCTGCTGCTGCTGCACTGAGACATTTCCGAACATCTCAGGCTGTCAGTGGGTCGGCGGTACCTCCCATGTCCCTCCTCCCCCCCCCCCAGGCCGTCAGCGGGTCGGCGGTACCTCCCATGTCCCTCCCCCCCCCCCAGGCCGTCAGCGGGTCGGCGGTACCTCCCCGACCCCTCGCACAGGACCGGCCACTGCGTGCGGCCGCGTGCCCGGTCGGCCTTATGACGTGCCTTTCTCGGCCTACTGCAGAGATGGCCGGTACCACGGCGGGCGGCAAGAGCAGGCTGCCGGCGCTGGGGCAGGGCGCTGGGTATCGGGCGGCCGCCCAGCGGGAGGGCCAGGCGCCGCAAGATGGCGACTGCGGCCTCTTCTGCCTGAGGCCGCGCTGGATGCGCCCGCTAGCCAACAGGCGAGTATGCAGAAGCCATCCCCGCCGCGCCGACGCACGGTGATCCTCGTGTTGCACATAGTCCCAACGGCTGGACACGAATACGGACGTGGAAACGTTAGCAGTCATAAACGTTTTGTCATTAGCATTCGATTTGACTGTGGAGATCAGAGACACCTTTGTTTTGCTTTGTTTTCATCAGGCAGAGTTTTGAAACGATCAAGCTCAACAGCTTTTTGCCGCCAGTTGCTTCTTTGGTGAGGTGTCGATGATGTTGGCCCAGGAACCAGCGATCAGGCAACCAATGAATGGGTAAATAACAACTGCAGTCATTGCGAAACCAAAGTAACCGAAACCCACGGGTCTATTACTCCAGCCTCTAAGGATGCGTACACGCGCGTACTGCACGCATGCGCACATGTGCCGTGTGCGTGTATCACGAGAATTGCATGCCAGATAAACCTCGCGCTCATAAGCTACCAGTGAGGAGAAAGATGCCTGTAGTCTTCAGGACCTGGTTGCCAACCGAACAGCAGCGGTGAACGGCCAACATACGTCTGTACTTTTGTACCCACTCTTTGTAGACAGTACTCACTTTGGAAACAGATTACTAACTTGAGTTTGTCCGCGAACGAAATTCTGTCAGCATCCGCCTTTGCTTTTCCACGCGACTGAATCATTTTTGTTCGCACGGCCCGTGCTGTGAGATGATTTCAACACCTTATGCCAGTTCGTCCGTCGCACCGCGATCATTACCTCCGTGTCGGCCTCGACCTCTTTGTTCAGCAGTCGCCTGTGGCGGCGTTGTGTTACGGAGGCCGCCTGAATGGGGCCGGGCGGCCGTGCGGCTATCTGCTGACCCTCGATGATCTCGCGCTTTGTCGGGGACGCTGTGACACTGCTCCGACCGATAAGAGGTGCTCGAGTGCCCCGCGGCGCCAACGCCGCGACGGGCCAGCCGGCACCCTGAGCCCTGCACCACGGCGTGCCTCTCGAGGGTCACTCCGGCCACGTGACTCTGCGTCAGCTCTGGGCCGTCAGCATGCGCAGTTGTGAGCGCGGCCGTCGGCAGCAGGGCCATCTGGGCCTGCTGGGCGTGCTGCGGCGCCGCTGACGTTAGTGCCGACACTGGATCACAGAGGCCAACTGCAATAACTGGAGGCGTGCGGCTATGCTCTAACGGTGCGGCTAAAAAAAGATGAATTGAGTAAGGGGATTTATTGGTTTTTGCTAGGTCGAGCCACGCGCCGACCAGTTCAGAAAATCATCGGTATGATTTTACCGATTCAAGAGAGGATGAGTGACAACTGTCCCAGCGGACTTTTCACTCAGCTTCATGTGGTGCCTGCTTCTCGCACTGACGCCAGCGTATGTTTCTTTCCGCCAGGCTCACGTACCTGCTGGTGTACTGCTCCTGTGGACTGGTGCAAGGAATGTGGTACACCTACTTTGTGTCCATCCTTACCACAGTAGAGAAAACCTTCAAATTTCCCAGCAGCACAACAGGTTAGCGCAAATCACGTGGATAAAACCACAGCGCCCTGAAAGCATCGAACCACATAGTGACCATAATGAAGCTGGCACATGCACCAGTAAGGCTTGCACATCTACTGCTCGCTTTTCGCCGAACTTCTATCGTCCACGTAGGCCCTTTGCTATCTTGGGTATACTGGAAGTTGCATTGATTTGCAGTATCTACTCAACACTTTACTGGATAAACACATCAAGGTCTGTCTAGAGCAGGATAACACCGCCTAGGGTTACATAAGCAAACTTTAAGTGCGTGTCGCAGATTCGTCGCACCAATTTAACACGCGCCCGGGTGGTCTGTTGCATACCCTTCGCTCGGGTGGGGGTCAGTTTAACCCCCTGAGATCTCCGGAACCACGAGGGTTAGAGGCATTGCCATTTGGTGGGTGAGTTCTCCTGTATGTGAACTCACTTGTGTCAAGTTCGAGGCTGCTAGGTCACGGCCTTCGGGTAAAATCCGGTCAAACAAGGTCAAACTCCAGATTGGGGTCCAAAGTGCCCCCGAACGTCATCGTGCAACCACCGTGAACCTGGATACCTGATCTAAGCAAAACGTCACTGGTGCTCATATTAAGTCATTGACCTTGACTGGCCTTCAGAAGGTTACGGTGACCAATATCATATAACATTGCTTTGAGTTTTGCATCCGAACAAGCGTCAAGGGGGGGGGGGGCGGAGCGCGAAGAATTACACTAGGCGGTATCTTTCTTAAGAGCAAAAAGTTGACCTGGTTCATTTTAGGTTAGTGACCTAGTCTGAGCCTTAAGAAGTCCATGGATGTCTGATGTGGTCTGTGTCAACTAATTCAACCTGAGCACGACAAACTGCCTCACACAGCAAGCTCTGGGGTAAAAAGCAGGTTGGTTTTGAACTTGGTTTGACCTTTATACCTGACCCTAGGTCAATTGAATTTGCTATAATTACTGTTGTATTGTGTTGCGTAAGAAATTATCTCAGAAATGTACGGCTTCGTCAGTACTCAGTTGTCGCTTCAGATTGAACGATTACTTAGGAATTGCCTTCACTGACAGCCATGGCCTGACTTTGACCCGTAAAGATCAGCAGCCTCACGTGGTATATATAAATGTTTGATACCAAAAGATTTGCTTTTCAGTTGTCTACTAATCTGCAAACTTTTGGCGCGGATACGCATGCTGTATGGAAAGGCTTCTGGAAAAAGCTGTGAGCGTCAAATTGACCCCCATCCCAACCGAGCGCGTGTTAAGCGGTGTCTCTGGAATAACGCGTAACAACAAGAGTATTTAACTCATCACTAATCACCCCGACAATTTGATCACATTCGTCTGTCGCCCGGCCTCCCTGTCAGAATGACAGGCAAGCAATTATATGTACCCTCAGCAGGTGAGTGCGTTGTAGGCCTTCAGTCTGTTCTCATGCTCTGAATGTAAGAGCATCGGTAGCGCTCACGTCTTTTTTTAGGCATGCAGCTGCCAATGCATTGATTCAACCAAAGATTTAATTGTCAATATTCGTCTGCTGCCCACATAGCCCAGGTGCTTAGAAGGATCCGTCGGGTTCGGGGTCGGGAGGAGGGGGGGGGGGGGGGGCACTCTTTGCTCCAGCGTGAGTAACTCAGGGGGCAGAACTTGCTCAGTTTCATGCCAAGGATGTAAAGTTGAGCTCGCGCTATCAGAACTCTGTCTTTTCCGCCGCCGTCTCTGCCTCCGTCATGCTTTGCTTACCTGCTCATCGGTTGCCTTTGACATCAAACGTTCACATCCTGACCTGCCCGTCCGATTCGCCTGGTCCAAGTCCCCTAGATGCTGGGTTGACCATTCTTCAACCCGGCACTGACTGACCGATCCCGGGCGAGCAGAGAAGCAACAGGCAGTGAACCACAAGGTGGAGACATTACAACATAAAAGCACATTCGCTTCTTTGGCAACCAAGTGAATACAATTTGCACACTGGTACAGTTCATGCTGCCAAGCCGTTTTCGCTCACCACCCACAACCAATCCGGGTAACACTTAACGAGGGCGATGGCCTGAGTCACAATCACTGACCGCGCAGTGCGACAGTCCAAGCAAGCATGACCTCGTCGTTCTGTTCATGTCAGACCAACAGCAGGCCACTGACCAACAGCGCTTGCCACAGCGTACCCTGACATGCGCGCTCTACCGCGCCGTCAGGCATCGTGCTGGCCGGAAACGACCTGGCGCAGATCTTCTTCGCCGTGTTCATCTCGTACTACGGCGGCCGCGGCCACCGTCCTCGCTGGGTTGGCGCCGGCATGCTGCTGAACGCCATCGGCTGCCTGCTGTCGGTGCTGCCGCAGTTCGTCTGGGGCCCTGACCCGGCCGACGTGGCGGCCGCCATGGCCGGCGCCGCCTCCACCAACGCTTCAGGTGAGGCGGAAGCGCGCTGTCGACCGCTAGTCTCGCGCCAGCAGCGGTGTTTGTTGGCCACTGCAAACCGCTAGTCTCACAGCGGAGCAGTGTTTGTCGGCCGATACGGAGGCGTCGCCGCGGTCCGCTAGTCTCTCGCCGGAGCAATGTTTGTCGGCTCATTCGCGTTTCGCCCGGCCCTGCTGCTACCGTTGGCTGGCGATGATAAAACGGCGCACCGTACATGCTATCGACTGGTCTTGTATTACCCTGTTTACATGCTGAACAACTTGTCTGCCCGCTCCACTTGCCTTCATCTCACAATTCGACTGCACATGTGTTGAGAGTGAATGGGGATGTAATGCGGCCGACCGAACCGGTATCGCCGCGATACTGACGGCACTGACGGCCGTTACTGACGGTCTTTCGTCTTACGCATCAGAACTACGTGGATTTGTCCATGAAATTTTGTCACGGTATCACAACAAAATGGTCCTGACCGTACTAGACATAACCATACCATAGAAACCTCTGTTCTTTCGTGTTTCACTCGGCAGATAGTTGCCGACTAAAAAAGCTGCCAAGCTGGTGCTCTGACATGTCGGCCTGTGTCCCACAGACACCAAGGAATTCGAGTCGGGTCTGTGTCACTTGCCGGAGCTGAGTACGGCGGCGCCTGCCACTGGTGCGCTGCAGCAGTGCGACGCCACCGACGTCTCGCTGGTGCCGGTCGTGCTGCTGTTCCTCTCGCAGTTCGTCTCGGGCGTCGGAGCCACCGCCTACTACACGCTCGGACTCACATATCTGGACGACAGCGTCGACAAGAAGCAGTCGCCCGTCATGTTCGGTCAGTCCCGGGCGGCAGGGAAGGCGCCAGGCGGAAGTGTCATGAAAAGGCTCGGCTGCCGGCCCTCGCCTGGCGGGGTGTCGGCCGAGGGTGAACGATCGCCAGGACCCCGCGCATTCTCTGTATGAAGCGTCTTAGCAAACGTTCTCCGATCAAGATTGACCGCGACCTATTTAAAGTCCCATAAAAGCGATCACTTAAAGACCATTGATTTTTGATATGCGTTTATTCCGCGCATGACGAATCCACCATCGTGCCGCGGTGAGTCAGACGCTGTTGAAGAGACTCTGCTGTCGTCGAAACGAACAGGTTTGTAACAGTCTGTCAATCACGCACATGTCTGTGTTGAGACGCTTTAAAGCGAGGATTGAACAAACGAACGAATGCACCCGGTTACGCATAAGACTGTATATGACCCCAGGTGGTCCCAAGTGGAAGTCTCCTCCCACCACGTCGTGGCCCTGGGAGAGGCTGCCGTAGACCCGCCAGCCCGGCTAAGCCGGTGATGCCGGCTCAGGTGACGGCTGGGCCGGTGACGCCGGCTCAGGTGACGGCTGGACCGGTGACGCCGGCTCAGGTGACGGGTGGGCCGGTGACGCCGGCTCAGGTGACGGCTGGGCCGGTGACGCCGGCTCAGGTGACGGCTGGGCCGGTGACGCCGGCTCAGGTGACGGCTGGGCCGGTGATGCCGGCTCAGGTGACGGCTGGGCCGGTGACGCCGGCTCAGGTGACGGCTGGGCCGGTGACGCCGGCTCAGGTGACGGCTGGGCCGGTGACGCCGGCTCAGGTGACGGCTGGGCCGGTGACGCCGGCTCAGGTGACGGCTGGGCCGGTGACGCCGGCTCAGGTGACGGCTGGGCCGGTGACGCCGGCTCAGGTGACGGCTGGGCCGGTGACGCCGGCTCAGGTGACGGCTGGGCCGGTGACGCCGGCTCAGGTGACGGCTGGGCCGGTGACGCCGGCTCAGGTGACGGCTGGGCCGGTGACGCCGGCTCAGGTGACGGCTGGGCCGGTGACGCCGGCTCAGGTGACGGCTGGGCCGGTAACGCCGGCTCAGGTGACGGCTGGGCGCCGCCCCGCTCATTGCCTGTGTGCCCCTTCCGCTGCAGCCATATCTGCCGGTCTGCGCGTCATGGGCCCCATGCTGGGCTTCTTGCTGGGCTCGTTTTCGCTCAGCCGGTTCGTCATCCCCGGCCTGCATCCCGCAATATCGCAGAAGGACCCGCGCTGGATCGGCGCCTGGTGGCTCGGTGAGGACGCGCCAGTTGGCGGCCGCAGCGACCGGCGGCTACTGGCCCGCAGCTGCTCGCCGGGCTACTGATCATCCTGAGAGAATAGTGCATGTCTGTGCTCATTTCATCCAAGTGTGGTGTTAGTGTTAATATGTGTACTGCCCGCGGGCAGAATGGTTGCACTACGGCTGAATGCACTTGGGCTCTTAAATTACATAGCAAGCATGAACTGAAACGCGTGGCATAATGGCCTGGTGGTGAGCACGTCGGACTGGCTTGCGGGAACCCGAGTTCAAATCCAGGTTGCGTCATGGCCCTGAGGGCTAATATGGCCAATGCAGTCGCTGGGACTTAATCAAAGGGACGTGACGACGTGCATCACATTGCCTACAAAAAAAGAGTTGAAGGGTTTTCGAGTCAATGAGTGAGTACTTGCTGCTGTGCTCACCGAGCGTGTACTTTTCAGGATTCTTTGTGCTGGCCGGTCTTTTAACGGCCGTGTCGGGTCTGATGTGCCTGTTTCCCAAGACATTAACAGTTCACGCGAAAGATCCCGAGCCGGAGGTCAAGGATGACATCATGATGGACAAGATGATGGGCAGCATGGACGAGATGCACACCGGAACCAGACCATCGGAGAAGCTGCCAGACTATGAAGGTTAGTCCCAATGCAGACTGTCTGCCAGGAAGCATGGAGGCGTCGCCTCGCATCTGAATGCAGGCATGGACTCAGGCAACATCGTGTGGGCGCTACAGCGACCGCCCAGCCCCTTGCCGTTTTGCCTGGAGACAGCCGTTCAAGTTCTGGGTCGATCACATTGAACTGTGCAAGGTAGGGGCTGGTGGTGGGGGAGGGGAGAAGAGGTAGTTACTCCACATCACCTGTCCATGTGTAGCAATTCGAGGCACCAGAGAATAATTTCCTATTCAGCTGGGCAGGGAGGAGGGGGGGGGGGGGGGGGGGCTAGAGCCCCTCCCCGCCACACACACATTTTTAGAAGGAAATTGGTCAAATTTGGAGAGAAACCCGTTGAAAGGCTATTTTGAGGTTAGGTTTCGTAATCTCCCGTTGCTCAGCTCCCAACTTCTTTGCGAAACTAAAACTCCCCTTGACACCACTAAGGGTCGCTGCCGCATCCTGCTAGACACCACTAAGGGCCATTGCCGTATCGTGCTAAACACCACTAGGGGCCGTTGCCGTATCCTGCTAGACACCGCTAAGGGCCGTTGCCGTATCGTGCTAAACACCACTAGGGGCCGCTGCCGTGGTACAACGTTGCCAGCGACCGTTGACAAACATGGTGACGACGCGCGAGCGACGGGACCAGTGACAGTCACTGTTGACGTCGCTGAGTTGACACCGTTGGAAGCGCCTCGTCGACTCGTCTGGGTCGCGTCGAAGCTGACTGGGGACCCACGATATAAATGTTTTTGCTATTGCTATAAGCTATGACGTCTCCTAAGACTGGCGGAACCATTTTTACTGCGCGTGGGCGCGACGTCGCTGGAAGGCTGAAACACAAGCCTGAGCAATGGGCACAGCTACACGTGAAAGGGCGATGGGTTGAAACAAAGTGTAAGATCACGGAACAGGGTGTGTATGCCATCCCGAGAGATATTTCTAAAGCCACGTTAAAATGACTACAAACGACGGCAGCTTGTGTTTTGTCGTAGCTGCATTACATGCGTTAAACGTGTTTACATGTTTTTGACACTGACAGTAGAAATAGTTGAATGTCAAGTTATGCGCAGCAGGGTTCCGCCAAAAACACAGGTGAAAACACATATCGGTGCACATCCGCTTCAACTTCATTTGAACGTTAAAGGCAGATCACGATGAAAATACTTCACCCAAGATATCCGTTCCCGAGGGCTTGTGGTTTGTGACTGACTTCAGGCCTCTCTACATATTTTATCTGGCTCCTCGTCGCAGTGCTGGCTCATGTGTCCAACAGGCTTGAAGGCAGCCCTGGTGCGTCTGTTCCGGAACCCGCTGCTGATGGTCTTACTGGTCAACGTGGTGTTCGCCATCATCGGCTTCATCGGCTACTTCACTTTCATGCCCAAGTACCAGCAGGCAGCCTTCAAACAGAGCGCCTCCAAGGCCAGTCTGTTCTCAGGTAATCCCTCCGTCGGCCTTCTTTGTCGTCCCTTGATACGTGGCTCTATTGGCGCTTTCGCACATAACCTGGCTGTTATCTAGATTACGCTTGCGGCGCTTCTCTGATAGACGTAATCGAAGCAATAAAGCATCGTCATATTCGGTCTTAAACTGAATATCTACGCAGTGGATCATGCGTCATTGGCAATCATCTGCTCCAAATGTCAGTTCTGGGCTCGCCGGTTTTTTAGTGTTACGTGAGTCCGAGTCGGAGTCCAATCATTTTCATGGTCTTCCAGCCCGAGGTCAACGATTTTTGCGACCCACGACTTTGATTTGAACTGACCTTTCAAAGTCCTTGAAGACCTTCAATTCTGTGTCTGTCCACGGGTAGCCGTGAGCATCAGTTTCTTTCGCTAATACGAGACTTTGACAGTTCTATAACAGATTTAGAAGGGTATTGGGTATATATTTAAGCATACAACTGTAAACCAACATAACCCGACCTAAAGTAATTTTCAACTTATACAGGGGTGCAATTTTTGTAAATGATTGTTGGACCGAGCCCGGGGCTCGGCAACCTAACCCCGTCCCCCAAATTTGTGTTTTTAGCGGAACTTCCCCGCCACATTTTGGCAAATGGCAAGTAGCATCTACAGTTGTTGTATGTTTCGTATTTACAGTAGACCTCAATTTGGGCAGCATGGCAGCCACGGCTCGTGAATGATTTTCAAAAGCAGAAAGGCGTTGCGTTATTCTCAATTTTTCTCCTCATTTTTGTGGGGAAATATTCTAGTCCAAAATATTAGAGATCCAAGCCAGCCTTATAACTCCACATGGGGATGGGATGAAGGGACGCAAATAAAAGAATACTCCTGAATCACACCCCTAATCTTGTAGGCGTCACTCAACAAATTGGCGTTCATATAGTTGTCGGATTGCGGCCACGTGGCGACTGGTTTTACGAGACGAATATTTATGCTCGGGCTAATTGCGTGGAGTCATGTGTTGTCTTACCACGCTTCTCCCTATACGAATACTTGAAGATATTCATAGCTGGCACCGTTATGGTTAAAAAGGCTGCCTTTCTCTCGTGCACTAACGAAAAGGTTTGGACTCGCACTCAATACTTTGTGGTCAACGTAAATGCGCGGCGGCTTGCGGAGTATTGAAATCTGCTTGGCGGTATTGTTGCCCTTAAACTGCAAAATCTGAAAATGTGTGTGTGTGTGTGTGTGTGTGTGTGTGTGTGTGTGTGTGTGTGTGTGGCGCAAACAGGTGACAGCGTTTAATTTCCAGAACGGGTTATGGAAAGACAAGTTTTCTGCATCGCGTGCAAATGTCTTTAAATTCTGTTCTTTCCCTGCAGTATTGCAAAATTTCGTCTGGTTCCTTTCGATTGTGTCCATGAAAGGAACTTCCAAGCTCTGATCAAATGTTTTAGAGTAAGTGACTTTGGTGTCGAGGGTATCATGAACTGAGGGAGCTCGAACGGAAGCTAAGCCACTAGAGCGCAACAAGAGAACAGTGCAATCACTAAGCACGCGTAAGCTGAGCTGGCGTATGCACATCTAACAACAGACAACGAAACGAAAATCATCGTCATGTTATTTTTCATTTGCGACGTCCCTTGTTGTTTAAATTCTGCTTCCCTTTACTCTCGCCCATTTCTGGTGGCCAGGTGAGCTTGACGTTTGCTAGCCGACGAGCTTTAAGTCGCATAGCTCCTAACTTTACCTAATCGACGTTTTCGTCCTAGCCTATGACCTATAATCTGAGGATTATGATATCTAAGCTTTATTATTCAACATTCCTGAAATCCTTGGACATTTCAACGGGGCAGCGATAGCCAGCACCATATACGGATTCATCGGCAGTACAAACATAAAGGTGAATGTTGCACAAATCAGTTGTACTCCCAACTATTTCACCATAAATACATAAACACACCCATCCCAAGCCAACCAAGTGAACCTGAACGACTCCATCAGGCACAATCCACTAGCAGAGCTTTCGCGTTCCATACCATTGACAACAAAAGTTAAATGGCACAACGCAATGATTTCATGTTTTAACATTGGGTTTGTATTGACGTGTGGTAAAATTTTCCTTAAGAACGCAACACGTCTGTTAAAATCACCGACAAGCATCGTAATTGCTAGGTTTCTGGAATCTTTGCATTCTCGTCCAAGCTTGGCTGGCTTTTGGCTCTCGGCTTGGTTTGGCTCTTGTCGTCAGTCTCAATCCAAGTCCACAATGCTTCAAATTACTGGATCCGAGTCCGATGCATGCATAAAATAAATTGCTTCTCGTTAGTCCGGACCACAAAAGGTCACGAGTTTCTCATGGATCTGAGTTCAACTGACATCCCATTCATGTCAGTGACGGACTGTCTCTTCTTGCCCGAGCGTGGACATGTCAGGCAGTCCGTGCCGGCCGGGGCGAGTGCTTTCACCGATAGCACACGGTCAACAACGCAATATTGACACGTTTTTAAGTGTTCAGACGACTGTGTCCACATATGCAGTCTGTGCTTTAAGTGTGTTGATCACTAAAAATTATTCCTTTTACTGCGGACACAATTATCAGGTGTTTAAGTACAACTTTTGAGACCTAGCAGGGGTGTCAGACGAGCGAGCGTGATGCACCTCCAAGACGGGTTTTGCATATCTAACTTAACGCGACCCGCCCCTCCCAATGCGTCCGTGTGACGTATTGGACATTGCCTCTAGATTTCACTGATTGCTCTGACATTGATTACAAATGCTCGTGTTGACAGGTTGTTAACCCTCCAAGCGAGCAGGACTCACTCAATCCCCACCCCTGCTGCACATGTCGGCCGTTCCTTCCACGGGCAAGCCTGGTGCACTTACAGGCCAGACTCGTGCTATGATGCTCTTATCGGGCGACTGTGACGCCCCTGCAGGCTTATCTGGCGTGCTGGTGACCCTGTTCGGCTACATCGGCTCGGGCGTGGTGATCAAGCTGGTACAGCCGCGCGCCGTGTTCGTCACCGGCTACAGCGCCTTGGTCAGCGGCATACAGACGGCCTGCATGTTCGCCCTGATGGCCATACGCTGCGACGAGGCGCCCATGCACAGCGCCACCGGCCTCGACGGACAGTGAGTGATCTCACGCGTGGGGGAGGGGGCGTGCAAAATTAGGCAACGAGAGGCTCTGGGAGTCCCGGCAGCTAAGGGTGATAGCGAGTGGTGTCGAGCAGATGAGCGTGACGACGAGTGACATCGAGAGTGTCAGCAGGGGACAGTGACGGTAAGTGTGACACCGAGAGTGCCAGCAGGGGACAGCGACGGTAAGTGTGACACCGAGAGTGCCAGCAGGGGACAGCGACGGTAAGTACGGCATCGATAGTGTCAGCAGGGAACAGTGACGGTAAGTGTGACACCGAGAGTGCCAGCAGGGGACAGCAACGGTAAGTGTGACACCGAGAGTGCCAGCAGGGGACAGCGACGGTAAGTACGGCATCGATAGTGTCAGCAGGGAACAGTGACGGTAAGTACGGCATCGATAGTGTCAGCAGGGAACAGTGACGGTAAGTACGGCATCGAGAGTGCCAGCAGGGAACAGTGACGGTAAGTACGGCATCGAGAGTGCCAGCAGGGGACAGCGACGGTAAGTACGGCATCGAGAGTGCCAGCAGAGAACAGTGACGGTAAGTACGGCATCGAGAGTGTCAGCAGGGAACAGTGACGGTAAGTACGGCATCGAGAGTGTCAGCAGAGAACAGTGACGGTAAGTACGGCATCGAGAGTGTCAGCAGGAAACAGTGACGGTAAGTACGGCATCGAGAGTGCCAGCAGGGGACAGCGAAAGTCCGGGAGAGACCTGTGTTGGCTGGGAGCGTGCCGACAGCGAGAGACATGGAAAGCCCAGGGAGGGGATGGCGACAGTAGGTATCCCGACAGTCCAGACAGGAGACTTTCTGAGTGTGTGACCCCTAGAGCACCGACGGGGGGAACAGTAAAGCCCCCTACAGTTTCAGGACAGGAAGGTTTTGGTGAGAGACCCAAGTGTCTCGGCAGGGAAAGAGACCGTGAGCCATCCTGAGTGTTCCGGAAGGACACAGTAGCCGCCTCCGAGAGCCGCGGCAAAGAAGAAGCTTCGTGCGGCACCGCGGCAGCCAAACAGCCTGAAAGCTGCGGGAACTAATAACCAGTCCTATCTAAATCTAGGTTTACGATTTGATTGAATGCGGTCGCCACCCCAGTCTGATGACTGACACATACTGGCATGTCCGCCCTCAGTCCTCGCGCAAAAAAAATGTCCGGACTGATCCCATTACACCTTGCTTATGTCGCCTCTGCTGCTAAGGGCCCCGCAATCAGCAGATCGAGTGGGACCATCCCTGCTGGCCTGACCTGACGAATGAGTAGTGAATAGCGAATAACGAGTGACGAACGAACAAGGTGACCTGACGAATGCTGATCCGCGCCTGCTGTCCAGGCCCCCTTCCAACGGCGCCACGCTTCCGTCCCACAGGTTCATGCTGACCGCCGGCTGTAACGCCGACTGCGGCTGCGACTCCAACATGATGAGTCCGGTGTGCTCGCAGGACGGCATGGCCAGCTTCTTCTCGCCCTGCTTCGCGGGGTGTCAGTCAGTCAGTTCGGTCAACGGGTCCATGGTGAGCCCAAGCACCCCGCAGACCGGCTGAGGCGGATCACGCGCCAGCCGCTCGAGCGGGAGCGAGCGCTTCTCATGAGAGCGCCTCTTGCGCGAAACAGTGGATTGGACTGGCTTCCAAGTTGTAAAGATTCGCCGAGCTGTTCTGCGTACTGAATCTGCTGGGACACGAGGGCCACTCAATGGCACTCCACCTGGTGACACCCTCAAGGCTACCCACTTGTATCACTTGAGGTCCAGGTCACCCTCCGGACTCACATCCCGGCGACCGGCTGTGTGGTGCCTGGTGTCCATCTCACCCAAGGTATCGGACTGGTGTTGGGTAGGATTTGCGGCCGCCGTCCGATGGCCGGTATAATGCGACACCACGCGGAACCCACGCAGCGCGTTCTATCCACCATAGTCTAATCCATTAATCTATTTTTTCTCCGCCAGGTGTACGGCAACTGCAGCTGCATAGTGGACGTCGAGGGCAACAGTCCTCAGGAGGGCGGCGGAATCATGGCGTTCGCAGCCAGCGCCACCAGCGGCCTCTGCGAGCTGCCATGCTCCAACTTTGTCGTCTACATGGTCATCCTCGGGGTCATGAAGTTCGTGGGTTCTACAAACAGGACCGGGAGCATGCTCGTGTTCTTTCGGTGAGCACCACACCGTTACTATGGGTAGTCATCCACCAGTCCACATCCACTCAAATGCATTACACGCCATCCACTCATCAAGCATCTGTGCTCTGTATGTAAGTGTATGTGTATGCTCTGCGTATGTGCTCTGTGAGGGCCCAAAGAGAGCGCAGAGTGATTCACTTGAATCTTGCAATCTCACTGGAATCTTTCGCCAGCCTATTCGTATTCACATCAAATCATCAAGTATATTATGCCATGTTAACGCAGAGTGGCTCATAATACCAAAGACCGTAACATGTTATTTACTGCGACTTCCAGATTGGCTAATGATATTGCCAACGTTTATTAAGCACTGCCGACTCTGCGATCGGCTGGATCTCGGCCCCGATGGTCGTGGAGTGGGGTCCACTGTTGACGCGTCAGATTTGTACTGTCGTCGCCCCCATTCCATTCTGCGGACGTGATTGGTCTCCTCACTCGCGCTCAAACGGTCCGCCTGCAAGAGACCAGTACCACGTGCTAACCCGTCCGCCAGGTGGCACCAGCACAGTGGCGATTTCACCACGTAATGGTTGCTTCATTGCAACTAATCGAGTTTGTACTGACTAACAAGCCACACCTTTTGTGAATCGTACCGTGAGAGCTCCTGGTGTGGTGACATATCAGCTACTCGCAGCAGTCCGGCCACGTTACTGGTGAACGGCAGGCGGCCAAGCCAAGTTGTCCGTGATGCGAGCATTTCCGACGCGCGAGCACAGCGCGTCTCCGCCGCACCTCCGACTATTCCCACCGCACGAACACAGCACGTCTCCTCCGCACCTCCGAACATTCCCACTGCACGAACACAGCGCGTCTCCGCCGCACCCCCGACCATTCCCACCGCACGAACACAGCGCGTCTCCGCCGTATCTCCAAACATTCCCACTGCACGAACACAGCGCGTCTCCGCCGCACCTTCGAACATTCCCATCGCACGCACACAGCACGTCTCCGTCGCACCTCCGAACATTCCCACCGCACGAACACAGCGCGTCTCCGCCGCACCTCCGAATATTCCCACCGCACGCACACAGCGCATCTCCGCCGTACCTCCAAACATTCCCACTGCACGAACACAGCGCGCTTCTGCCGCACCACTCACAACGAAGCCGGCTAGTCCGTGATGCGAGCATTCCCACCTCGCGAACAGCGCGTCTCGGCCGCCCGACTGACGCCGTGCACCGGCCGCAGGGCGGTGGACGACAAGGACAAGTCGCTGGCGATCGGAATGGCCACGGCGCTTATGTCCGTGTTCGCCTTCATCCCGGCGCCGATCATCTTCGGCGCCGTCGTCGACCAGACGTGCCTCGTCTGGGAGGAGAAGCCGTGCGGCGGCCACGGCAACTGCCTCTTCTACGACACGGACAAGCTGCGCGTCTACCTGCACACGGCCGTCATCAGTAAGTGGTAGCTGAACAGGCTGCGCGACGTGTGCTACTGCTCCGCTACTTAGCTATTACTTAGTCGGGGATTTCCGTTGCTACGTTTCATGTCCGTTTAAACTTCCTTGCTTCTGTTGGACTGGCTGGTCACTTATTCAAAATTGGTGGTGCATGATTTGTGGGACATAAGTGGTTTTGAAAATGTTTTACTTTTGCAAAATTTAAACCTTTAGCAACGAAATTACAATGTACAACGCGATACCACCTGTATTATTTTCACGCGGTCTGAAATAGATAAAAAAGCATGCAAACAGTTCGCAAAATTTGCTTTACTTGTCATTTTCCAAAGACGGATCGGAGCATCATTCTATATTTACATTTTGTTTCTACTGGCATAACGATTTACAGTTAGCAATGGTTGCTTGTATTCATGGTACCATGATCATGAATATCGCTGCCGGCGTTACGGCCCACCTGTGACAGTTTGAGTATCAAAAACATGTTGGATGGGTTTGAGCTTTGGAGGCAACACTGAAGAACATTGCAAATCGATGTACCTTTTAAGATTGCTACGGTCCAATGCAAATTCGGCGACAAGCGTGATGACATTAAGGCTATTATGTTCCATTTGTTCAAGGCTTCATCTAATTTTTACTTCTGAATGGTCTTCATAAGCATACAGAGTCGTAATTTTAAACGATTTATATCTTCGACAAGAGCTGCGACATCCATACGTGATTGCCAGTTCCACAACAATTTGGATGCACCGGATTAAAGCTGTAGCCTTTCGCCTTTTTGTAGCTCGTGGCCCGTAATGTCGCATTTCTTAGCGCCAGCCAGAAACGTATGACTTTCCTCAGGTAGGATCACCACCTGACAACCGATTCAGCAAATTTTCCGCTAGAGAAATGCAGCGCACAGTGGAAGACTTCATGACAGGGACTGCGCTGTCTCATTGCCGCCCTGACAGAATTTTGACACGCTGTCGTCCACTTTCAGTTCCATTCGCAATCAGCTTCGTTCTGGACATGGCCGTCATATACTTGAGCAGAAACATCAAGCTTTACGGCGACGACGAAAAGAAGCCGGGTTCGGCACCGAACGGGGGCATGGATATACCGATGTAGGACAGTGAGCGAAGACAGTGACCCGTCAGGTGTCGCCTGCCAGACCGGTCCGTCTCGTGCGGAGTGTCGACAAGCCCAATCCCCACCCAAGACGTTCAGTCAACGAGTGCAGAAGGCAGGACGCGTGCCATCAGTGGGTTGGCCGGGTCCAGAGTAAGCAGCGAACAAGCTAGTCACCTCAGCTTCGGAAGGAAGCTCAGAAGCTCGGCCATGCGGCGGCAGGCTCGCCACCCGTTCAGTACAGAGTGGTGACGCATCTCGTTATATATCCGTGCGGCGTATGACGTTGCGCGTGCCTGGGCGCCCGTGCGCTCCTGTTCAGAATGACCAACGCGGCAGACCGAGGACGTGTGCACGGGACAGATGGGCAGGTGAAGAGTAGCGAACCTAGCGGCGGAGTTAGCCGTCTCCAGTGGCTGTCGTGGCGAGCTGGCGGCAACGGAGTAATACCGAACCCATGATGCAATCCCACTAGCGAACACGTACAGATAACGTAGGGCGGTTTGTCTGTAACGACGTCGAGCGCGTTTGATATTCATGTCCGTGCTCATCCAGTTGATTGTGCAATGTATTGATTATGCTACTGCTACCGATGTCATATATCTGAATAAAATCGAGGACGTGTCCGCATTCCATGTTCTCTGAAACGTGAAACCGCTTCATTGCAGAAGTTGACATCGCTTCAAGGCAGGTGAAAGCGGCGAGCCCAGAATCGGTCACAAATGTGCAGATCGGTCTGGTGACTGATCATGTTGTTTGATATACGTAAGAAAGCGAACGGGCCGTGGCCGGCCTGTGCTTTTGCATCCAAACCTAAGGCATGGAAAAGACGTTGTTAGTAATAAACTCAACGAACAAATCCCTTGGCATTGCAGAGGGTGACGTCATATGTTTTCTCATGAGTGGGATCCCACACAACAGTTACAGGACGATGTCACTGAAGCCCTGGTATTATAGAAAAGCCGCCTTGATTTCTTTATTTTTTCAGCACGGAGATGGGAGTTCTTATTCAGACCGTAACCAGCTTTCAGTATATGTGCGGCGCTGGTTAAACGAGGCTATGCCGCAAGCATTGGCTTTTTGATAATACTGGCAATTGAAGATGTGCTCATGGTCACCAGTGGCCACGGAAAGAAATGGCAGTGAGCATGGGTAGCCAAAAACCTACACTTGAAAACCAAGTTACAGGAATACAGAGAAATGTCCCGACTCTGTACAGACACTACCATAAAAACATATCAAAGTAGCCAATCATTTAAGGTCTGACATGCTAACATCCGGCGCACAATACCACGGATGCACGAAACCCGGGCGGCCAAGCTGTAGGCGGCTAAGCTCACGACTGACATACAGGATAAAGCCGCTAACCTTACATCGAACATGCAGAGTACGAAATTAGAAAATTACCTCTAAAGAATATTAGGCGCCACGAGGGCAGGAATGCACGAACATCTCCGGCATTCACTTTCCCGTCCTGGTACCCAGTGAACGGTACCGCTAGACTCATTACAAAAATCCATGTGGTGGACCCCCTAGCCCTGGACCTTCGAGCATTCTTGTGCAGTTCTGCTAGGGAAGTGTCTGGGATCTGGGATCCAGTTTTTTAAGTCCTGGGCCTTTCCTAAGAAATGTTTATTTCAGATCCAGGATACGTTCTACGGTTTTTCGACGAATAATTTGGCGTATGGGATCACTTCCTTGATCCCGTTATGCAAACATGATCTCACTGAGTCCGCCACACGCTCCCGCCTTGCGCGCGTCCTGCTGTGCCCACTGTAAAAACGCGTCACGCGTTGCAGAATGTTCCTCGCCGTTTGAACTCGCTCGCTGATAGAACGTGACGTCCTTCCACCAACAGCTGCTTGCTTAAGCTGGTACTCGCTCTGGCTTATTTTTACCACAACGCAACTTCGCTTACCCCCTGTGGAAGCACGCTTCTTGCCCCGCCTCCCGCGGAACGCACGAGGTTTTCTTTCCAAAGCGTTCTTTTCGTAAATGTTTTATTGTCTCCATGAAACATCCCACCCATATGATTAGAAATCAACGAGCCGTGAGAGCGGTGACGCCGTCTGCATTGACATGCTTTTGAATGCACGGAGGAAGGAGGCCGATGCGAAGGCAGAGACCGCGCCATGCAACGCCATCCAATGGAATGCCGGATTAGAAAGCCGTGTTATATCACGACTGGAATTCAATGAATGCACAATATGCTAACAGCAAAAGCTAACATCCAAACAACGGATATTAGTACAGTAATGTAATGACGCTTTGTACGCGTCCAACTCAAGCTCATCGCATCAACTGAAACCTTCCAGAAAACCCCATAACCGCCGGCAGATTCCACCAACGCAACGCCCGCGAGCTGCTACATCGCGCAGCCACGCGAGATGTGCCGCCCCCTCCTCCTCCCTTATCCCTCTCAGCTGTCGTAGCTGAACGACTGGCCGTTTTCCACGGCACAATGCCACTCCGATCCCGCCAGGTGTTTACATCTCGTCCTTGGCACTCCTGCCAAAGTACTCCAGTTTTTTGCTGGGGTCCGGGATGATCTGAAAAGAGGCAAACACAACATTATGCTTGTTCATTACCGTTACATCGATCGGACGGAACTACAACTTACGAATAAGTGCATAAGTACACAAACATACACACATACACACGTACACGCACGTACTCGCAAAGCCCCCGAAAATATGAAAACGCATAGCAATGAAATGCAAGTGGCCATGAAAGAGTCGCATTGTTGCAACACACATGTACGAATGCCAAACCAGTGCTACGCTGCGTGGCGGACGACCCGGCACAGTGCGAGGTGACAAGACCGACTACCTCCGGCATACCGCGTACTGGACAGCCCACGACAAACTTGCTCCCTCATCCTCGGAACCGGTTCCAAATGCGGCAAACCCGCCGCATCTAATCCTAGGCACAGAGTCTGACGTCGCGGTTTTTTCGGAGACCACCCAGTCCCCTGTTATCCCATGTCTTCATCAGGCATATTCTCCAAAGTCTTCGGTTCTCAGTAATTAAATAGCGACTTCCACAGACTTCTATTTACAGTTGCACACGTCGAATGTCGTACCCTACAGCTCGCAAGATATTTCCACGGATGCGGTGCCTTTTGAGTCCTAGCAGGCAGGGGATGAGTTATTGAAGCTCCTGAATTTGAGAGCACATATGCAACACAGTTAAAATGGAAATAATACCACAGGGGCGTGTCCCGTTTCGGAAATACGTCGGCTATCTCACTGATGCTACCATTTCCATCACTACAAACTTATTGCGGTAAAGTTCGACTGCCGCGGTGTCAGTCGATAGAGCAATAGGTCCATTCTGCACGCCCAAGGCATGAGACGGTGGTGACAATAGGACTCAGCACCTCTCTCACGCTTCCTCCCAGGATCGTCAAACAGGAAGCCCTTTCCCAGCGGTGGCACCGGTGTCATTGTTTCAGCGCGTTTGACTTCCAAAGCCTTTCTTTTATTCCCTGAACATTAGTCCTTTTCCAGCTCGTCCATAGCTTACAAAATCCCGTTAATGCCCCAGCTCCCTCCGGTGACGGTGATTGAGGATCGGACCAATGCTGGGGGAGGGCGGGGGCGGGGGGGGGGGGGGGGGCGTCGCAATGCAACCTCGCACGCTCGCGCCGCTTACTCTCGCGCCTACGCGCGTGAGCGGCGTCCCCGATAGGCCGGCTCACCGTGTCAGCGCCGGGCTTCCAGCCGGCCGGGCAGACCTCGCCGTGGGAGTCAGTGTACTTGAAGGCCTGCACCAGCCGCAGCGTCTCGTCCACGGACCGGCCGACCGGCAGGTCGTTCATGGTGATCTGGCGCAGCGTGCCGGCGCCGTCGATGATGAACAGGCCCCTGGTGAAGAGGGCCGCTATCAGGGCAACGGCCGGCGGCGAAGCGGCCCCGGTGGCCGGCGCAGCTCACGCCGCCAGGCACGCGGCTGAGGAGGGAGCCGCTTCTCAACGGTGACTGGCGCGAACACCCACACAGTTTCCTGATTGATACTGTGTGTCATGTCATTGGGGCTTTATGACGCACCCAGCTGCTGAGACCATATGGCGTCGCCTGCCTCTCACCCTGGAAGGAAGGGCGGGCACCACAACGAATCGCATCCCGTACTTCTGGTTTCCCGGACTGTAGTGGTTAAAGCGGACGCGTTAACCACCACACTACTGGTACCCTTATGATTGATATTGCAACGTCCGTGCCATGGCAGAGGCGGGTGCGACGTCTCACCCAGCCCCAGTGGTCGTGGCGACACGGAAATGCGTTGTGACCCAAAGACGCAAGAGACCCAAAGACGCCCGAAAGAGCTGAAACCCAAAGCTGAATCTCCCCATTCCGATGCATCGTGTCTGTGCACACATTCCAAAAAGCCAACGGTGCGTCCGTAATTTACGCAACGCGCAAAATGCGCAGTCACTGAAGGCCGCATTCGAGTAAGGTCGGTAGAGTGGGTACCAATGGAAGAAAGTGTATATTCAATCACCTTTATCCAACGAAGCTTCGAAGGCACCGAACAACCCCTGGTTGAAGTACGCGCACCGGTGACAATGCGCTCGTCTCCACAATAAAAGGTACGTCTCCGACGGGTACATAACTAACGCAAAATCCAGGACAATACAATCATGTCAAAAATCGCTCGCACTTGATTAGTCTTTCAGCCATAAGATCCGCGGGCGTGCGACTACGCACACGGCACGGCCCCCAGTGCCTCACCTCAGGGAGTGACCCTGGTCCTGCAGGTAGACGCCGTAGTCCTTGGCGATAGTGTGCGTGATGTCGGAGAGCAGCGGGATGTTGAGCTTGCCAAGGCCGCCCTCCTTGCGCGGTGTGTTCACCCAGGCCAGGTGGGTGAATTGCGAGTCCACAGAGCAGGCCACCACCTCAGCTCCCAGCGCGCGGAACTCGCTGACCCGATCATTGAAGGCCAGGATCTCCGTGGGGCAGACGAATGTGCTGGTGGGCAGCAGTGGGGACAATGGGAATCTCAACATCTTTGTTTGAAGGGCATGACCTTTGATGCCACCATGCTTTGTGGGATTGGATTATGAGATTCTGATGCACTGTTTGAGCACATGGCACAATGTCTGCAAGCCACTTCATAAGCACATCATTAACAAACCACTGCATGACCATTGCTTCAGTGACACCATGGTTTTTATCATCATTCCTTTGATGCACAGACCACTTTGCTTAAGACTGGAGGCACTGGGCTGATGCAAAGTTGTATCAACAGCAGCACATGTCAACTTTATTTTCCCAATGCAATGGAAATATGTGTCACATGACTGTCCAAGGAGGTATTTAAACAGTGGACATTTTGCTTGAGATGTGTGCCTTCAGTGTGTTTAATGAACATCTTGCCTTTGACACAGCAGGATGAACAATGTGATGGAGATGCTACATTCATTAAACAATATCCTGTTATTACACATATAATCATCAAATAATACTTACAAGTCCAATGGGTAGAAGAAGAATACAAGGTATTTTCCTTTGTAATCTGACAGTTTCAGTTCTATGAATTCTCCATCAACAACAGCAGTTCCCTCCCAGTAGGGTGCAGGTTTTGAAACTGAAAAACACCAGATTATGATTGCATAGTATGATGCCTGCTAACTAGTATCAAATGCCTCAGCAATTCAAACAAAATGGGCAAGATGGTAGTATAACAACTCTTCCCTTCTATGGTTATCATTAGAGTTGGTAGCTTAAAAGTGTTTATATTACACAGACAGCCCTACCCCAATACCACAATTGAAATTTCAATGACTGCTACACCATGTGCATAGGTACCCCTAATTCCAGGGTGAATGCTTCTGGTTACAGCTCAGCAGCATTGTGACAGAAAATAGCGTTGTGGCACTGAGTACTGCACTGTGGTTAGATTGTCGCACCAGCTGTAACCATATGATGCAGGATAAGCGTATAAGTGGAGAGTAAAGAAAGTGCTAAGGCCACAACACAAACAGTATACAAAACAGTAAATGCAGATCTGCCAAGCAACAAATTGAAGCAGCCAGCTGGCAAGCACAGAATGAGAGCTGCATGCTAGCATGGGTTATAACTGATGAAACAAAGAATGCCTATCAAACTTACTCATTGCCTTCGTCCATTGCAGTGCGTGACCTGACGCTTTTCCAGACTCTTGTGGATAAACTGAACCACCAGCGAATTCGTGGCATGCATCTTCAGATACAGCCAAGCCACAGATAGCCACGAGCGTCAAAGCTAAGAGAGCAGACATAATTAACACGTGTACACTACAGAAGTCAAAGTTCCCAGCCCGCAGTGCGCGTCCTCCCCACCCGCAACCACCCGAGCAACACGACCCGTCCGCCACGTCACATCAGCAAACCGGCCGGCTCCAATACGTATAAGATGCGCCATATTTGGCAACTTTCAATGTGCTGACTGCTGCGCGCATATGGAATATTCATTCAAGCATGAACACATGAAAATACACCACGTGTGTGGTGTAAACAGTCTAGAACTACTACTTGTAGCACTGCGGGTGGATTGTGAACTACGCGCAAGTGCGGAGTCATCAGAGTCCGATTAGACGGGTGTCAAATTGGAACCACATTCAGATTGATATTCGCGGACTTCTTAAATGAGCTTGGACAATGGCCTAGAAATGGATCTTGACTTATTGAGTCTTCTGGCAAAAGTTCACCCGCCATCTTGCCCAAACCACATTGGAAACATTTGCTTCGCGGTAAATGACAGCATCTTATCTTATCATGTATGATAAACGGACATATTCAGGGACATGAGACCCGAGATTTCCGTAGTGCCAAAGCCCCCGTTCTGTATTCTTGTAAAGCCTTGGTTCTTCTGCATGGCTGCTTACAGTCCCCGCAGCATATGTTCATAGAGCTCAAAATATTATGATGCATCCCTCTGAGGGTATTCGAATCGACCAGGGGACCCCGCTCCAGTGTCGCCAAATTGCAGCCGAGATGCACCCCGCCCTGGGACGAGATGGCCCTTCAGCCCCGGATCGGTAATGATAACGTGCCCCTCAGCGTTTTACTCACGGAGCCCCTTGCCCGAGAAGTGTTAGAGGTCTCAGAGGTGTTGAATGGAGAGAAACGAAATGTGGTAAAAAATAAAGCAAGGCCCGCCCGGGTTCGTCTGAACACGTTCATTCTGTTTCAGAATCAACTAGTGAGTAAATAACCCAACCCTGCACGCTTACTCGGAGCAAGCATGTATGGTTGGCTTGCAGTTTTCTCGTGCAGCTCTCTTTCTCTGCAACCACGGCCATCGCCGTTTCAGTTTTCCAAAAAGCAAGCTGCCATGGCCGGCATTGCAGCCTTCGTAAAACAAAATGGCGTTGGCCGCCGCACGCGACACCAGGCAGCGGGTCCTGCGAGTGCGGGAGCGGCCGCCGTGAAATAATGTTTTCGAAAGTCAAAACAATTTGGAGCATTAAAAGACAGGATAAGATTTGGGCTATTTTTGCTTTTTACAATTTAGGGAATGTCTTCAGGATAAATTTATAGTTATAGCAATGCAAAAATAAAGATTTTGCAATTAACATTCGGCAGTTTCACCACCAGATTCCAGCACCAATTTGCGGTACTGTAAAGGCTGGTCCGTCCATTTTATCAATCTCAGAACCCCACAGGAAAATATTAGCCCGAACCATTTTTTAATCGTACAAATCGATGCCTAAAGCGTTCAATGTTACTTACTTTCAGGTGCAGCATCTGGCCGTCTGTCCGTTGGCCACCGCTTAATGTCAGCTTCGGGGCCCTTGCGGCCTGTGGAGACTGACCGGGCGTCGAGGTTACCGCTGCCAGGATTTGCGAGCGCACATGTTCAAGGTCATGTCACTTAACTGTTTTCAGTCATCGATTCTAACTACATGTTGAATAGTTAAGGCGAGCATCGGCTGGCCATGTTCACACAAATCTGAGACCCCTTTTGATCTACAATCTAGGTTCAATGGTCCTGAATATTTCTGAAGAACGCATGAAAATCGGGCAAGGCTTCTGAGCTCTCTATCGGTTTAGAAATAGTCCACTGAATCATTGTAAAACGAGGGGCGACGGTTTTTGCACAGATTTGTGTAACGACTGATTTCCGCAGTTTAACGACTCAAAATATAAACAGGATCGATTTTTCAGTAGCTTCTGGTTTCTGTTTCTTTTCTGGTTACAAGGTACAAATAGTTACAAAACGAAGAAAACCCTGCGCCTGGTTGACACCTGAGCTATATCTGACGATTTTTGGGAGGGGCCTTTCACTATCACGGGGCCTTTGTCATCCCTGTTCCGCCCTGGCAGGGCTCGTTTACAAATGGGTTACGTTGGGTGATTTTGGGGGTCATTATCACGGGGTCTTGTCAACCCTGCGCCCCACCCCTTGTCAAAAATCTGGTTACGTCCTTGTCCGCAAACAAAAGCAGATCAAATCGTCCATGTTGAATGAGCGGCAAACTAACGTTCAGTGGACCAATACGTACCTGAGGGAGGCAAATCCCGAAAGCTTATTCTCTGCTGTGTTGCGGTGTAAGGGAGTACAATTTGGAAACAGATGCTGTACCAGGTGTTTAATGCATGTTTTACACACCAAAGATAGTGATGCGGATCCCTAACATGCAGCAGAGCAGTCGTGCCACCAGTTCGCAGTCATGCGGGATAGCGGGATCACGACAAGGGCCGCCGACGGCGGGCGGGAGCGGGGTTTAAAGAAGTATATCTGAAAGAAAGACCTTCATTATGTAGCTTGGTTCTTATAGGAGAAACTACGTTTTAATTATTTTTGTCGCATGGTCTTTGGCAGTCAGTATCTGAATCGTTCGCATTTGCTCCTGTGTAAACTGCTGGGACAAATCATATCTCATGAAAATCGATCAGCGAAATCTTGGAGCATGAAAGCTCTGGCGTACTGTGCGCCATTGACTTTCATTTAAAATTCTGACGAGCCTTTGCCCAGTTTGTATTTCTGCATCTGCACGGTGGAGGCATATGTCACCCCAATGTCCCAAAGGACCTACCTGTTTGTGGAATGTCACTTTCCCAGCGAAATTAATGTTGAAATGGACAAATAATCTCAGAAAGCTAAATAGCCGCATTTGGCAAATGGCATAGATGAGTCAAAAAGGTAAGGTTGTGCACCAGTGGAAATCAGCTGTAGATGCATATGCAAACACATGCATAGCAAACACCACATTTAACCATTTCCAAGATATGTTATGTGAATCAAAGGCGATGTTCCACAATGAGATTCATCTTTTGAAAAATCGGATATGATAAAATAAGCTAACTTATAACCATTGGTTTACGTTTGGGGAGAAAAGGCTGCGATAAAGAACACAGCTTCCCTGTGCAGTGCATGATATTTTTAATACGCCATTGTTAAATTACGGTATTGTACCTTGCACAACATTTATTGAGAGCCAACTGGCGGCTGTGACATCTGTCCTGCTCACAAGCACCAGACTGATTCAGCAATCATACCTTTATTTGCCTTGATCACTGCACGACCTACGAAATGGCAGGTATTTGATGGCATTGTTGTGGCGCCATGGGTCCCTGAGTGAACTTGAAATAGTCACCCGGAATTTGCCTGTACATCGTCGCGGGCGTGTGTACCAGAAACTCTCTAGACGGGTTTAGGTCTTAAGAAGGGTAGAACTGTGAGTTGCACAGAATGGTCTTCAAGATAACTACTTCAGTTCAAAGCATCATGCAACTATGAAGCATTCTCTCTTAGAGCTGACAATGTCACCCATGTCTACCCTCCACCCCTCCAGTCACCTTTCTCGCTTTCAAGCAAAAGTTATCTAAGTTTACCCTTAGCCTGCCCCCCCCCCCCACACTTTTTGAAATGTTCCTCTGTCTATAAGCCTTCTATATTAGTGTAGGTGTGAAAAACGTTGAGGCAATGCCCCGTTTCTAACCAATGACCCGCTGCTTTCAAAAGACGCCATATACTTCTAGACCATAGCTGTAGCTGTAACCGGTACAGAGGACTTACGCAATAAGACAAACGGTACAAAGCTTTCTTTACTTTTTGTTTAATGTATCAATATTATCATTACACGTGTTTGTTATGCTCTATCCGGAGCTGTCAGCACACATTTCACGAATCAATACAACTTAACAGTGTGCAGCAGGGGCGGATCCAGAGGGGGTCCACGGGGTCATGCCACCCTCCCCCCCATCTTGGGCTCCGAGGGGGCCACTGGCTCCGAGGGGGCCCCATAGCTGGCCGAACTGGTGCAGTTTTTTGAAACACAAAACGCAGCAAAACTGGGCGTCTTTGAACTTGCAGGCAACCAAGAACAGCCGCAAACGAAAGTAAAGGGCCGACGAGTAGACAAAAGCAAAACTTCATTGATTGAAAAAATTTGTTTGGGAATTCTAAGCCTTATTGTGCTTTCCAGGGGGCCTATGCCGTTTCCGGGAGACCTATATGCTCACTTTCAGGGTCATTCTGATCGTTAAACAGCCCTTCACTTTACCTTTGATTTTCAGCATTTCCTCGGGGGGCCCTGCGTTGTTGCTGGGCCCTTCCTGGTAGCGTGTCGGGGCGTTCTTGTCAATGAGGCGTCTTCCACAGATTCTTTCCATTCGCCGGAAAGGTTCTGCACGCTATAGCTGGAGCCCCGTATGTTAACCTGCCGGGATATTTTCAGTTGCTCAGGCACCCTTTATGCCGGTCTCGGTTGACTTATCGACCCACTCACGATATGCTAATGAGCCTTCTTCATTGGTCTAGGGCGCTTCCAATTCTCCGTCACTTGCTTCGGGCCTTTCACTCTCGTCGGGCGCTCATCTGTTAACCTCCTTGCGCACATCGGTCGTTCTGGGCACACCAAATTGGGTCTTGGGAGCTTTCTATTTGAATGGAGAGCCCTACACACTTGTCGGGGCCCCAACTGTTAACTTACTCGGGCACACTGGATTGTTTGGAGGCCCTGCACGTTGGTATCTTAATGCACTGCCCTGCGTTCCTGCCGGAGCCATCTGATAGGGTGCTCGGATACACTCGATCCTTCGCGGGCCTTCCACACTGGGTCTTGGGTATTTCTTATTTGAATGGGGAGCCCTACATTCTTGTCGGGAATCTCTCATAACCTGCTTGGGCATATTCGACCGTTCGGGGGCCCTCTACACTGGGTCTTGGGTGCTTCCTTTTTTAATAGAGGGCCCTACGCGTTTGTGGGGGAGGGGTCTCTGTTCACGTCCTCGGCGGCACTGGATTGTTTGGGGACCCTGTACATTGGGTGTTGGTGTTTGAATTTAGGGCCCTACACTCCTATCGGTGCCATCTGATAACCTGCTCGGATACACTTCATCTTTCGA